ATAGAAGCGGAAAGTTCACGTGTCAGTCTGCAGACAGACCCACACTGACCCTGCCACCCAGAGACAGGGAGTGGGCCGCTATGTTTCCATAGCGCATAAACGGAGAAGCGGAGGGCATTCTGTGTAATGGGCACAGGCAGACACTGCAATTTTTGAAAATACACACACACACACTCACACACTCACACACACATCAAAAACAGGTTGTTTTGACTTCCTGACACTCACAGCTAAAAGAAATGCTTTTGGTGCCTGCGCTAGAGCACTGCGGGAGGGGCCGGCATCCCGTGCCTTTGTCTGGCAAAAAGGGCCAGGAGCTAGGCAAGATGCCTCTTGGTGACCCCCCAGAGAATAATGAGGTTTCACACTGTCCAGGGACAGAAAGAGGGCGGATTCTGGAAGTTCAGTTCCGTAAAAGAATAATAAAAGATGTCCATAAATATTAAATATTTCCATTCGGGCTATGTGTTTTCACTTAACAAAAACAAAAAACTATCTGCTTTTAAAATATATGCCAGTCTCTATCAGGTTCAGTTAGGAGAAGAGAAAGCACACTAGGTATTTTATTTTACTTCATTGTGTTTTTTCCATTGCCATTTATCCCCTCTGCCCTTTAAACAGAGGTGATGCTATACAAGGAATTAATAGGCTGAAAGGAAGAAAACAAGGATGGTGAGCTAACCCAGAGATTAGTAAACTGGAAGTAGCTACCACCACTCAGGCTGGGTGAGAGGATAAAAAAGAAAGAGGCAGCCCTGACCGGTTTGGCTCAGTGGATAGAGCGTCGACCTGCAGACTTAAGGGTCCCAGGTTCGATTCCGGTCAAGGACATGTACCTTGGTTGCGGGCACATCCCCAGTGGGGAGTGTGCAGGAGGCAGCTGATCGATGTTTCTCTCTCATCGATGTTTCTGACACTCTATCCCTCTCCCTTCCTCTCTGTAAAAAATCAATAAAATATATTTTTAAAAAAAAGAAAAAGAAAGAAAGAGGCAGAGATACCAGAACCAGGGGGCAGAGTAAGGAGCAGTTGCCTCAGAGTGGGGTGGGATTGGAGAAGGGGGGGGGGGAAGGAGGCCACTGCTTAGCTGTGCTGAGTTGGCTGACTGGGTGCCATGCAGTTGTGCTCAGACCATCGAGGGTACTGCTCAGCTGGCTCGGATCTCCGAGGGGCTGCCCTGTGGCCAGAGCTGGGCCTGCTGGGCCTCCCGAGAGCGCACCGCATGCTGTCCGGGGGCCAAAAGATGCTAGAGTCACTGCCATCTATTTGTGTAGAGAGATGCTGACAGCTGCTGGAGCAGGGGAAGAAAAATCTCTTCTGTCTACCTCCCCAGAGCCTCTCACTAGCAGAATCTGCTAGAACAAGCTGTCAAACGTGTCTTAGAAATGTGTTCCTCATATCCCCAGCCCAAGTGTCACAGAGCAGTGTAGGAGGGCAGAAGACAATAGGTGAATAGACTGTCACAGATCCTCCCTATGGCTAGCAATGACCCACATGCTCTCTTCTACCCACTTTAAAACTTCTATTTTACAATAATGTCAACCTCACGCTCTGTCTAGCATGTTGTAACTTCCCTTTGTGCAAACATGCTTTCACCTTCTCCCCCCGACCCCCCAAATGGAGACACCAATGTCTAAAACTCTTCATATCTATCTCTGAGTGATCATTTTTTTTTGTTTTGTTTATTCACTCAAGACTTTATATTGTAAGTTAATCGTCACCAGCACTCTCTATATAAAATAATAGGGATTAGAAGAAAGAAAATGACCGGACCCAAATGAGGAAGAAACTATTCATATCTGCCACTTTTTCTTTCTGGGCCTGGTGACAAAGCCACAGCTGATATTTATAACGTCCTTTTTCTACCCCCCATTCTCCCCATCCCTGGCCTTCAGCCAGCTGGTCAGTGTTTTTATCTAGTGAGGCAACCCAAACCTTCATTTTTGAAGGGTATGAATTCTTTTTCAGTCCTGTGGTGTGTGGACGTAACAAATGACTCAGAGCTGCCTTAGAGACTCCTCTCAGTTTTAGACCTAGTTTTTCCTGCCGGCATCGTGTAGCAACTGATACAGGTCAACAGAATCAATCACCCCAACCAAGTACAATAACTCCTTCCTTTGTCTGTTGGTTCAGCAACATGAGGGACCCAAATTGCCAGATGGCAATCTTACCTTCCAGTTCAATGGAACAATTGTCTCCCTTCCTTTAGGAACTAAGCTCTCTAACAAGTGCCCATTACAGGAAGTGTGGGGATAGGAAACAAAAAAATCTGTAAGTGGATTATTAGGGGTAACAGAGGAACTGGGTACTATTATCGTCACCTCTTTATTTACGGATCCATTGATTCTGTCTCTGGGAAATAAAGCCCTATATATTTGTCATTGGTTTAGAGCATATTCTGCATTCTGTACAATAGTGATCCCACCTCTCAGGACATTCTCTCAGAACCCTAATTGAATCTTTAGGAGGCCGTGCTACCTTTCTCTGAGGCTAGATGCTACTAGATGTTATGGTAAGACCAGCGAGTTCCATAGGCATAAGCCCATTGCTATGTTTGGGGGTTTTGTTTTTGCTTTTTGCTGTGAAATGAGTTGCTGGGTCTGAAGTAGTTTGTGTGGGCTACCATGGAGGTGAATAAGGCAATCCATAAGTCCCTGGTGTGTATTCATAGAAGTATTGCAAACAGAGAAGACAAATCACTCTCCAGAATAAGTACCTATTCCAGGAAGACAATTTCAGCCCCTCCTTATGGAAGGGTTCAGGGTAGCTCGTGGCTGGATTGTCCCCATTCCCCACCCAATGATGTCATCACAGGAGCCAGCCTGGGCTTCTGCTATTGTCGGCTTGAGCACTTGATGGTAGTAACCAGGCAAAATAGGTGATGAAAAGTCCATGGTGCTGGGCCCATGCACAGCCTCCATGCCTGGATCATGTCTCGTGTACACAAACCGATTGAGCAAGTGCCTTCTTTGGGCATTTGAAGGAAGGAGCTGACAGACATCCACTGTATAGGCTTTCTTTTTTACCTCATTATTAAAAGCTTTGTGTGTAGCAGATCCCTTTGCGAGTGTTCACATAGCTCCTAACATTCAACCAAACATCCTCAAGCTCTGTGCCAGTGTAAGAGGTCCATCTATATACCACATGCAGACAGTCTTCTGTTCCTTTCTTTCCAAATCCCTGACAATCCAGCCAAACCATGAGCCATCACCCATTTTAGGTAGAGGCCCATCCACATCGTGGGCCATCTCTCAGGCCCCTCAAACTGGACAGTGAGAGATATTGCTTAAAGTTATGCTCACAGAAAGGATTTCCCCTCCCGTGTGTGTGTGTGTGTGTGTGTGTGTGTGTGTGTGTGTTTAGCACACTTCTGACTATGGCTATAACGCCCTCTTCTTAATTTTCCCGTAGAATGAGAAAAAAACATCTGTAAATCAGACTCACTCCTCAGTCACTTGCTCACAGGGAGCTCTCCATAGAAACCTCGCACTGAATGAAGGCAGGCAGGCAGTGCAGCCGAAGAATGTGCAATAGGAGCCGGAGCCGTCAACACATGGGACTTGATTGTTCCTCTGGGATCTGCGAGTCTGATTTCGCACATACCATTTCCACTCGGTGACAAAGTGTTTCTGGGCACGCCTAATTATGAAGCCTAATAAATCAGATAACACCCAGACAGTTGTGGGCAGCTCATGTCATAGGGCCAGGGGTTCATTCTCTGTAAGGTCCATGAGTAAGGCCAGAGCAGTGTCTCATAAGGAAAACAGTTATCTGGAGGCTTTGCTTCAAACCCTCAGGCCATCCTCCTGGGGTCTGCCATGGGCTCCACACAGCATCCCTATTTACCATCGAAACGTCAAGTGCTCCTGGATCTGCTGGGTCATAAGGCCCATGTGGCAGCATAGCTTGCACTGGATTAGTCTGCAGTCTACAACCTGGACTGGCTGTGGGACCTTCTAGTACTTGCTCATCACTCAAAACTAGCTGCGTTATGGGTTATACACTGAATTGATCAGAGCGGCACACTCTGACCAATTTGTTGTGCCATTTGTTGCCTCCAAAATACAGAGGCCCGCCAAATGGTGAAAAATATTCTTGGTGCAAGGTGCAACAACTTGTCTTTCACTCTGGAGGGAATGATCTAATATGATTCAGAATACTGGACCCTAGAAACCTCATCTAGGAGGCTGGCTCCTGGATTTCATGGGTTGTAAATTTGAACCTCTGACATGCATGTGTCTGCGGCAGCTAATGTACAGGACACCTGTTGTTCATCAGATTCAGACATCGTGATGTCCTCTGTGCGGTGGGTCAGTTTGATCTCTCATGAGAGCAGGTCCTGCAGATAGAACAACTGTAAACCTACTTTTGCCCCACCCTGTATTAACAGCTGCCCCAAATATAGGACCATCATATGGGAAGTTGGACTTGGGCCTAAAAGGTAACAAGAAAATAATGAAAATACAGTTCTTTATACTTGATAGAATGTGGAAATATGTGGTGTATAGTATGGTAGTTAGGGCCAGGCATGGAAGAAACTTTAAAAAATATATCAAATATGATTACTGGGTCTTCATTTTAAAAGCACAACAGTATATAAGTTGTGTGTCGTTCTTTGCTCATTATAAAAGATTGTTACATCTTTAAAGGATTATATAGAAGATACATGAATGAATAATGGAAAACAGTTAGACTCCGTAAGTGAGACAAGATTATTGCTGTAATGTTTAGTCCTCATAATAGATTTGTAAACTAATTGGACTAAAGTTTATTTACATTTTATAGACCAGGAAGTGAGGCTTTCTGTGTTTAGGTAACTTGTCTGAGTTCTCATAGCTGATAAGTAATAGAGTTTCAAATCAAAACCAGCTATATTGATTAATATATTGACATTGGTGATATTGTTAGGATATGTACATGTGTTTGCATAAATGAAATATTCATTTATTTATTCTTATTTTATTTTTCTCTCTTCTTTTTCCCTTCCCCAAATAAAACAGAGAGAAGGAGAGAGTCCTGAAGACGGAGAAAGAATGGTGGTCTTCAGTTTGTTCTTCACGTAGCAGAGACCCATGCCTCTTGAAGCATTGTGGGGAGAACTTGTAGAGGAAGGACTGGATGGTGTACATAGAGAGGCTCTACATGAGACTCTGGGCTTTCAGTCCTGGCAGAGAATTCTGTGCCAACCTTGGCAGAAATCAGCAGAGCCGTCTGAACTTACGGGAGCATGAGAGCTTGGACAATGCGCACATGGGTGAAGTCTGCTATGGGGTGAAGACAAGAAGGATTGATCTAAACAACATAAATCAATCTAGGTAAGTTCCCAGGGGCTTTTGCTCAACACTGGGAGGCCAGGATGATGAGGACCTACACTCACATGTATTTTGATTTTGGAACAAAATGAAGTATTGTGATATTCTCACACACCATTGTTTGTGGAGTTTCTACCTCTTCCTTGTATATTTGTTTGGGGGCACAGAAGGGAAAAGCAGGGCAGCGATGATGAATGGACTATGATTCTGGTTGTCAGAGAGCTGGAGAATTTGCTTCCTGTCACCATGGATGGAAAGAATGGCCTCCTGTGCACCTTAGTATCCCTATCAACCCCACATGTTTTCTGTTTATTATTGGTAGGTGCCAGTGGCTGATTCACTTAGCTGTTTGGAAGACAGTGCTAATGAGGCCAAGGTCGAGGTTCTCTCGTTTCCATAGAGTCAAACATACTCAGTGAGAGCGAACTTCAGTTTCAGTTACCACAGATTAAATTCCTAACCCGCACCTACTGCCTTGCAAATACGGGCTGGGTGATGGGAGGCCAGGTGAGAGGGTGTGAATTATTCAGCACAAAGCTCACCACCTCCAAGGGCAAACACTCAAAACATGTCCTGTTGACATCCTTGCAATCTGTGTGTTTATGAAGGAGAGTACACACTGCTGTCATGTGAACTAATTCACAACAAAGAAATACATCGTATGAAGTTCTACTAATTTTTGAGTAGAGACTGATGGGGCAAAAGGCTCTATCATTAGTTTAGTGCCATAACTTTTTATATATATGCTAGAGGCCCAATGCATGAAATTCATGCAAGGGGCTCAGCCCTTGCAGCCCCAGCTGCCTCTGCCCTCTCAGCCCTGGCTGCCTCGTGGCCCCACGGCCCCCCCACTGGTCATTCCGGAAGGTCATTCTGTCATCTAGTCTAATTAGCATATTAGCTCTTTATTATATAGGATATATTTTTATTGATTTCAGAGAGGAAGGGAGGGGGAGAGAGAGATAGAAACATCAATGATGAGAGAAAATCATTGATTGGCTGCCTCTTGCATGCCCCCTATTGGGGATTGAGCCCACAACCTGAGCATGTGCCCGTGACTGGAATTGAACCCGGGACCTTTTAGTCTACAGGCCGACTCTCTATCCACTGAGCCAAACAAGCTAGGGCTACTGCCATATCTTATCTGCACTAAACATTTGATCCATAAATACACATATCATGTTATAATTTGCACAAATAATACAGACTTAAAGAAGCATGCTTAAACCCTATGTTCATAGCAGCACAATTTGCAATAGCCAAGATTTGGAAACAGCCTAAATGTCCATTAACAGATGAGTGGATTAGAAAACTATGGTACATCTACACAGCGGAATACTACACTGCTATAAAAAAGAAGGAATTCTTACCATTTGCAGCAGCATGGATGGAACTGGAGAGCATTATGCTAAGTGAAATAAGAGAGTCAATGAAAAAAAACACCACATGATCTCACTCATTTGTGGAAAATAAAGAACATTATAACCTGATGAACAAAAAGATAGATACAGAGGCAGAGAAGCATTGAACAGACTGTCAAATTACAGTGGGAAGGCCGAGGAGTGTTGGAGTGGAGGTAAGAATCAACCGAAGGACTTGTATGCATGCATATAAGCATAACCAATGGACACAAGACACTGGGGGGGGAGGGGGTGGGCGAGAGGTAAGGGGTGAAGGCATGTGCCGGAGGGTAGGGGAGGCCAGGGGAAGGTCAATGGGCGGGGGGGGGGGGGGGGGAGAGTTGGAGGAGACATATGTATTACTATCTGTAATACTTTAAACAATAAAATTAAATTAAAAAAATAAAAAGAAGCATGCTTAAAAACCTGCAAAATGAAAGATGAGGATTCTAAGATTGCATTTTAAATAAAAATTCTGAAAATAAAACAGTAATTAGGATATTCCTAAGTTTTTTTATTATTATTAATGTGGTATGATTTACATACAATGCACTGGTTTTAAGCATTCAGTTTAGTGAATTTTGACAATGTTATACACCCATGATCACTGTTCAAAACAAGGTACAGAACATTTCCATCATCCCAAAAATGACTCCCAGTCATTTCCTCCTCCACCTCCCCTGGTGACCACTGTTCTATCAGCAAGGATTAGCTTTACCTTTTCTGGAACTTCATATGGATTTAATCAACCCATATGAACTGTGTTGTGTCTGGCATTTTTCACTCAACATCACCTTTTTCTTGAGTGTCTTGCATGTTGTTGCGTCACACCAGAAGTTTATTTCTCTTTATTTTGGTATGTAGACACTATAATGTGTCCATCATCCTGTGGGTAGATATTTGGGTTATTTCTTGTTTTCCACTGCTATGACTGAGGCCGCTATAAACATTTTCCTACAATTATTTAAATTCTCAATTTTTTCATGCTAACGCTCTGAGAACAGGAGTACTTTGCACAGTAACTCATGTGAACAGTTTCCCGATCCTTTACTTTGCTTCAATTTTCTGTCATTGTTATCAATATTTGGGAGTTGCAAATGTTGGATTTTCCTCAGTGACTGATAAGTTGTAGGTACAGTATTGAGAAAGACAGTGTAAGAAAGAAAGCAGGTTCCCTGCACCCAATTATGCATCAACTTCCACCTCCACTTCCTGAGGCAAGCCCAGTTAAATGCAAGTGTGCATGTTTTTGCATTCTCCTTCCCGAAGTCGCTCCTGATTGTCACTACAAATTCATCCAGGAATTCATTATTTGTATATTCAACAAAAATTCATGAGACTCCTATCATATGTTTGTTAAGCTTGTGCTGGGCTCTGCCTACAGAAGGACGGGGGCTCCTTTTAGATCAGAAACCAGGGGATGTTTGCTGGGCCAACACGATGCCTAGCACAGAGAGGAAACAACATGGGCATTTTTGAATTCATGGAGGAACTCTTGATTTAGTGTGGAGATTGACCTGAACACAAATAAACTGGTATGGGAGAAGTATGGATCAAGTACTGTGGGAACATCAAAACTATAAATACATGTTTTGTTTCTACCTAGAGCCCATTTGAGTATGTTGCTGTCATGCTATTTTCTCTGTTGGACTGTAGTTTATCTAATTATTGCCTTCCCCCCATTTCAGGGGTACAACAGAGTCGGTTTCCTTCTTGTCTTGGTATGTCTAGCCCTCAGGGGATAGCCTGGGACTGAAAAGGGAGTGACTCACTCTGTCTAGGTTTGCCCCCCCCTCCCAAAAAAGAGAGAAAAATATGCAGGAAAGGGCCATTTGAGATGGGTCTTGAAGAGAACAGGTGCTGGTGGTAGTGTGGGATAGTATTCCAAATAATAAACAGTTTGACCTAAGAAGGTCCTTTGGGTACTAAGTGTTTTAAAAAATGTTCCTATTTAGTATTTCTGAATCACCATCATGATTTTTTTCTTTATTAATTAAGGTATTACATATGTGTCCTTATCCCCCCCATTGCCTCCCCGCCCCCCCCCCCCCACCATCATGCCCTCACCCCCCTGATGTCTGTGTCCATCGGTTAGGCTTATATGCATGCATACAAGTCCTTCAGTTGATCTCTCCCCCTTACCCCCACCCTCCCCTACCTTCCCCTCTGAGGTTTGAGCATCTAATCGATGCTTCTCTGTCTCTGAATCTGTTTTTGTTTATCAGTTTATGTTGTTTCTTATAATCCACAAATAGTGAGATCATGTGATATTTATCTTTCTCTGACTGGCTTATTTCGCTTAGCATAATGCTCTCCAATTCCATCCATGCTGTTGCAATGGTAGGAGTTCCTTCTTTTTTATAGCAGCATAGTATTCCATTGTGTAGATGTACCACAGTTTTTAATCCACTCATCTACTGATGGGCACTTAGGCTGTTTCCAAATCTTAGCTATGGTGAATTGTGCTGCTATGAACATAGGGGTGCATATATCCTTTCTGATTGGTGTTTCTGGCTTCTTGGGATATATTCCTAAAAGTGGGATCACTGGGTCAAATGGGAGTTTCATATTTAGTTTTTTGAGGAAATTCAATACTGTCTTCCACAGTGGCTGCACCAGTCTGCATTCCCACCAGCAGTGCATGAGGGTTCCTTTTTCCCCACATCCTCTCCAGCACTTGTCGTTTGTTGATTTGTTGATGATAGCCATTCTGACAGGTGTGAGATGGTACTGCATTGTCATTTTGATTTGCATCTCTCGGATGATTAGTGACTTTGAGCATGTTTTCATATATCTCCTGGCCTTCCTTATGTCCTCTTTCGAAAAGTGTCTATTTAGGTCCGTTGCCCATTTTTTGATTAGGTTGTTTATTTTCCTTTTGTTAAGTTGTATGAGTTCCCTGTAAATGTTTGAGATTAAACACTTATCGGAGGTAACATTGGCAAATATGTCCCCCCATACAGTGGGCTTTCTTGTTATTTTGTTGATGGTACCATCATGATTTTTAATCACTTTTAGCAATTCAGTTTTTAATTAACTTTTAAAAAGTCTTTTCTACTGCTATATCTACATTGCAAATGGACTTTAGCCAAGATTTTTTTTCTTACAAAAGATTATATTCTTGTCATTTTTTAAAAAACCCACAATTATTCCACAGAATGTCTTAAATACAAAAGAAGAAGATGACAGAAACAAAGTAGTTGGCTAACATTTCAACAAATGCTTTTATCTTGACTAGAATGAATAAGGGGAGTTGTTATTGTTACAATTTTTATTTTTTCCAGCAGAAGAATGATCTGTTTTTCAAATAATTAAAAAAGTTACATGGTTTCTTCTTCATAATCAAATCTAGCCAAATTAGTTTATTGCTGGAGACTATGCATTCCATTGGTTTAAGGAGACCGTTATTAACAAAGGAATTAGAATCTCTTTATTTGACATGTAGCAATGTAAGTGGAAACGTACATAGGATCCAGAAAGAGTACTTTAGCATTACTTGCCCCCCTTTTACGCTTACAGGCATTGAGTAAATTGCATATGAAACTTCTCTGATTGAGTGTTGAAGGTCATCTTCTGGCAAGCATGCCACACAATGATTCTGGG